AAATCGATGGAAAATTTTGTTTTCATTTTAATAACATACCTATTGATTTATCAGTTTTGTTAGTAATAATTTCTTTATTATTTTAGTGCGACATACTTCTATCGAAGCATGTCAACAAATCCCTGTACACGTGTACAGTACAGCTACGATTTGAAGGTAAGACTATTTTTGATGAAATTTATGAATCGTTTTACCCTCTAAATGGCAATAATAATTATATCAAGTGCTTAAACACCAGAAAATAATGCCGAAATACCAAATATGTGGTCTGTTTACAATAATCATTTTCAGACACGGGATTCCGATATTGCTACCTGTATAAAAATACCTGAGGACGCGTCATAACAGTGCACGGTTGGATGTGCGCACTAGCGTAACATAGCTTTGGGGAAATATGCATAGCAACCCGCCATATCTCTTTGATTACTAGAACACAAGACATTTTAACATCTCTTAAACGCTTCTTAAGATATTGTTGTTTGAAATTTGAAATTTTAATTGTAAAGCTTTTAACTCACGTTGACCTCTGCCTCGGGCAAGCACTTAAAGTTGACTTTTGACCTCATTACTGTAATAAAGAAAACGATTCACAGCGCTGGTCTACATAACATACCCAAGTATCATGACTCTAAACCAAATGCTTCTTAGGATATTGTTGTTTGAAGTTTTTAACATATTTGACCCCTGTGACCTTGAAAGTAGGTCAAGGTCATTTTAATGATGAAATTTTATAGCACTCCATTCCAAGTACCTACTGGTCAACTATCATGACCCTGTGCCTTATGGGAATTGAGTAGAAGATTGTTATAGCTTTTAACCCATGTTGACGTTTGACCCCAGACTTGCACTTAAAGTTTACCTTTGACCTCATTACTTTAGTTAAGAAAAAGATTCGCACTGCTGGTTTACATATTATACTCAAGTATCATGACTCTAGTCCAAATGGTTCTTAGGATATTGTTGTTTGAAGTTTTTAGCATATTTGACCCCTGTGACCTTGAAAGTAGGTCAAGGTCATTTTAATGCGGAAACATTATAGCACTTAATTCAAGGTACCTACTGGCCAAATATCATGACCCTGTGCCTTATGGAACGTGAGTAGAAGATTGTTAAAGCTTTTAACCCATATTGACCTTTGACCCCTGACTAGCACTTTCAGTTGACATTTGACCTTATCACTGTTATTTAGAAAAATATGTGCACTGCTGGTCTACATACCATACCCAAGTATTATGACTCTAGTCGAAATGGTTCTTAAAATATTGTTTGAATTTTTAATAAATTTGACCCCTGTGACCTGGAAAGTAGGCCAAGGTCATTTTAATTAGGAAATGTATAGCCCTCCATCCTAGGTACCTACTGGTCAAATATCATGACTCTAGGTAGAAAATGTTGACGGACGGACGACGGACGACGGACGCCGCAGTATGGCTTAAGCTCACAGGCCCCAAAGTAATTTTTTGTTTTTTTTGTTTTTGTATTATTTTTTCATTTTTTTACAAGACAAGACAAAACATATATGACATTGTTCCTAAGTACATGATTGTTCATACATATTAAACAAAGATCATCATCATTATCAGACATCATCATCATCATCATCATATAAGATATTATTATTAACACATAAGCAGATATTAAGCAAAAAATTGCCAATGTCATGTACATACATAAAGACATACACTGAGACACTGATGCAAAAACAATATATATAAACCTATGACATCAAACACACAAGAGAAAAACCAAATAAACTGAAACAGAAAAAACAACAACACACAAAACATTACAGGGGATGGGGAGCACTCCTAGGTCATTATATTTTAACTTAAGCCTGGCGAATTAAAATGTATGAAATATTTGATGATTATTATTACAGTGAGGAGACGATAAAGTACAATAGATGTATATATGTATAGAACAAATATGTCATATATATATATATATAGTCATATTATAATTGCATCCAGTTATCTATTTGATGGTTTAACTCATCCTTATTTATTAATTTATTCTGTTTATACACAAGGATCTTTTGTGCTTTTAATTCAAATTTTATATGGTTTTTGAGACTAGTCAGATTAAGGTCAATTTCTAGGCATTTAGTTTTATATATGTATTGTTTTATAAGTAGTATTATGATGTTTTCTATATAAAACTTTGTATGGTTATATGTATGTTTACCAAAAAGGAATTCTTGTTTTTCAAATCTTAGTGTAAGGTTTTTAGTTATAATATTTGTTTTCAGCTCGTCAATTAGCCTATCAATTTTTTCGCAATCCCATAGCATATGAACTATTGTTTCAGGGTGAATTTTACAGAAAGTGCAAAGGTTATTGTGTGATTTGCCAATTTTGAATAAAAATGTGTTTGTAGTGAGAATTCTGTGGTTTATTCTGTACTGTAGCCACTGTAGTTTGGAGTTGGTGGTGGTTTTAAAAGGACATTCATATATTTTTTTCCATGTTTCATCATCTATATTTTCATTTAATATCCATTTTCTTTGAGCAGTAGGTTTAACATTATTTTTAATTAATATTAAATATATGTCTTGTGCTCCTTTACTATTTTTAAGTATTAACTTAAGATTGATAGGTATATTTGGAAAGATAACTGTTTTTTCTGAAGTAAAAATGTGATGATTTTTTCTTATAAAATGATGCACAGCATTCTTTAGGCCTTGGTATGTCAAAAAATTAGTATTTATGTTATATTTTTCTTGAAATTCTTCAAAGTGGTAGAGTGATCCATCCTGTTTAATAATGTTATATACAAATTGTACTCCCTTTTTAAACCATGAATTTTTGAATGTAAATTTTCTGTCAATTTTAATTTCACTATTGAACCACAGAGGGTTTTCACGTATATTTGTATTGTATATATTGCTAGAGATAATAGTATTGTACCATGCTTCTAAGACATCTTTCCAAAAGAGGTTACTACAACGTTTAGATTCTTCTTTCAATTTTTCAAGCCCACAGTTAGCTAATGTTTCTTTATCAAAATAAGTTTCTAAAATAAGAGCCCAATTTCCTTCTTCTTTATATACCCGTCTTATCCATGCTGCTTTAAGAGCTGTTATCAAAAATTTTAAATGTATCATTTTCAGACCACCTTCTTCATAACTTTTAATTATCACATCTCTCTTTATTTTATCTGGTTTACCATTCCACAAAAATTCATACAGTACACTATTAATTTTTCTTATATATGTTTAATCAGGATTTGGTAGTGCTATAAATAAATGGTTAAACTGTGATATAAGTAGTGATTTAATAACTGATATTTTACCTATTGGTACTCGTCTATTCCATGATGATATAAGAGTTTTGTAATTCTGTGCAAGTCTACATCATAGTCTATCCCTAGCAAATTGAAAGTTGATGTACACGTAATTTAGTGTTAAGTTGATTTTACTGTGCTAATTTAAACATATTTTATTAATGAAATATACAAGGGGTTCACACAACAAGTTATTACCCCTCCCCAATACATATTGTAAAATAATGTACATATATGTTCAGTGAAAAATAGAGTTACAGTTAACACAATTATAATGTGCTAGATTTTACAATTTCATAAGATGCAGCCTGGTAGAGTTTTTTCAAAATGAACGGAATCAATTTCACAAAGAAATCAGGCAAAATAATGAAACGCAATTTCATAAACACATCATAACCCAGGAGAATAAGACAAAGTAAATGAACGGATGCGAGGATTAAGCTATACAAAAGGGATTGGGTAGTTGGAGGGGATATATGCGTGAGAACAGTTCAGAAAAGTAAGAGGTATGGTCGAATGATAGGGAGATTTGGGATTGTGATGTTGGGTAAAGAGTATAGATACAGATGGGTGTGTGTGGGGCGGGGCGGGGTTGTGTGGGATGGGGTAGGGGTGTAGGTGTGTGTATGTGCACATGACATTTGAATATATACACAACATGAGAAAACACATCTCATGTTACATATGCTTACATGCATTCACAAATAAGCACACACACTTACCATTACACACCCTCACACCCACACACACTTGTATACTGTACACGTTATAAACAATACTTTTTAATTTCGAAATATTCAGGTTTTTAAGTTCACTAAAACAAAACAACAAAACAGAAATTGCACAGGGTGTTGACTTAAAGCGGTTACTATATATATGCTTGCGGTCACACGTAATCAAACACACAAGTCTCATGCAGACTCTCTCTCTCTCCCTCACAACTCTCATGCAGACTCTCACAAACACCAACTCCCCCCCCCCCCCCCCCCCCCCCCCCCCCCACACAGTGTCTTCAGTGTAATCAAAATGAATGACCGATATAGATACACAATAAAATGTTTGCTTATAGAACTGAATACAAAGTGTACACATGTAAAAAAGAACTGTTGTACGCTGCTAAGTGTATAACAAGTATTATACAGGCAAAGTACATCATGCTGGTCATAAAAAAATATATATAAATGTACAAACCAACGAGTTACATAAAACTGGCGCACTATAACGTTGTAAATTTGCAGCAACAATATTTTGGTAATGGGCTGTATACTATAGCCAAGCACTGAATATACAATGTAAGGGAAGGGGCTGAGTACATGAAATGAGGCACCGCGCGCGTGCCGAACTGAAACTAGTTTACCAAACTTTGACACCAGTGCCTCATATAAGGATTCTATATATACATGAATTGAATACACGTTCTGTTCGACAATTGACAAACATGTTCCAAAGAAATAGTTCTCAGCATAAACTATTATGTTTGCGAATACTTCTCTTTTCGTTTATATAACACTGTTGGTGAGGTCATTTACAGCTAGTTCAAAAGTTTTTGTTGCTTCCAGTTTGTCCTAATAGACCAGTGTGTTATACTTGTACACATAGATTCCGTCCGTTTGAGTGCGGATTAGAAGGTATTTGATGGGTCCAACATGATCAATTGTATTTAGTCTTAAAGGAACAAAATGTTTATAAACTAGTGTGTTCGATGCTAGTTTCTCATGTTACAGTCGCATCACGTGTACGGTACCATATCTACACCCTATCCACGCGTTACCACACGTGTCCACACCCACCGCTGTAGGTTCCACCACTCCATGTTTCTGGTCCAGGAGACACGTGGCCTGTGTACCATCTCTCGGTAACACATACACCTGATTGTTACTGACGTCTGGTACAAACAGTCTGTCGTACTTGTCACGTGACATCTTATTGAGCTGCATTTGACCAACGTTTGGACCTTTGTTAATTTCACCTGTCCAGGTATGTTGGACTGTGCATGATTTTCCTGTTATGGACAATGAATCCTGAGATGAGGTTATTACTGCCACGTTTCCTGATGACAAACAGGCAATACACCACCCATTCATACCACACGGTACTTTCCTCACAATCGTACCTGACTGATTCAGTACAACTATGTCTGGTGTGTATGTACTAACAACCACCTCGTCCCACTCGTTGATGCTGATGTCCAATGCTTTATGTGGTCCGATGTCAGCAAATGTTGTCACTTGTTTGTTATGTAGTGATAGTTTATATACAAATGTACTAGCTGGGCAACTAGTCATAAGTATGTTTGCCGTCCCGAACATGACGATCCTCAGCGGAGAGAAATTCGTTTTTACTGTTTTCGTGACGACGCCCTTCCTGTTGACCAGTACCAGACCCTTGAAATGAAGTATTGATAACCACGCGTGACTGTCGTCGACTGGACATATACCGAGTATTTGATTTTGTTGCGAAACAGTAAACTTAGAGAGACGTTGAACGTGTTTACTGTCGATGTCTGTCTTCTTGTACTGGTTCGTGTGGTGAGGTTCACCCAGCATTTCCGCCAACATGGCGCGGTCGATACTTCCGGTAACAAAGTTTGGTTGTTTCGGCAATACGTGTTTCACATTCACATCATAGCGGGAAAGACTTGTTCTCAAGGAACTTTCGATTTCAAACATGGATACACTTGATGTGTTCGTTACTTCCGCTTTTTCAAGTAGGCTCGTCAGCTCTGCAACATTTTTCTCATAAAGCTGACAATCTTCTTTGTGTGTAGCTAATCCTTTTTTTCTCCATGGACGACAACTCAGCCAGCACCGCGTCCGCGATAGAATCTACTTCTTTCTTTAACTTAGTCCTCTGAATGTTTACATCTTTCCTTATTGTATCAATGTTGTCGTTGAACGCTTCGGTAACGTGATGTCGCTCTGACGTCTCGTTCTTAAAATGTTCTATTTTAGCTGATATTGCTGTCATGTGCTCTTTCAGATGTTGCTTTTTTATAGAAAATTCGTCTTCAAAAGGTTTCAAGTTGTGCTGTTTATGAGTTTTAGATAAACACATCGAACAAAGCAACAGGTTGCAGTCCGAACAATAGAGATCACACAGTTTACCGGGGTGTAGTTTACATACCTCTGGTACAGGCTTGTCTCCCTGGCGGTTAGCCTCCCCGATCGACACGACGTCATCGTTTTTAGTTTTCCTCCCGCGTGTATGGGTTTCCTTACACCGGTCACATAAATTCTCCTGACAATCGTTGCCATACCATCGTACCCCGTCTTCACTGTCACACAAAGCACACGTGTATGTAACGGGTTCCTGGGCACGCCGTGCGAATCTGCTACTTGCCATGGTTTTTATTAAGAGATAGAATACGCTAACACTTTACCTTGAAAGTGTGAAATGCAGCCATTTTGTTGCTCTGTCGGTAAAGGTATAACTATATACTTCCTTGTTCTAGGTATGTCACGTGATTATTCTGACAGATAGATAAGATATGATGTCCTTGACTTGGCTAGTCGCGATATCGATAAGGCTTGCCTTCTCATGATCATTGGCGTTCGGCCAAAAATACTTTGTAGATCTTGCTATCAGACATGTGTTCGTGATTTCATTCGTTATACTTATATTGCACCGTATGTTTAGTAGTTATACAGCATACAAACCTGTAGTGCACAAGACATTCTGCGAGGAGTTGGTTAGTGTTGTGTACCTGTGTCCCCCACCTATATATTTTCACATGTCTGACTGGTTAGCATGGCCTACCTGTTGTATAACAGGAGTATCAAAATGCACGGCCACACCGGGATTTGAACCCGGAACTCCGAGTCCTACATGCATGGATGCTTTACCAATGAAGCTAGCTGGTTGTAGGCGATCGACCCGGTCAGGTTCCGCTACAGATGTGTAGTTTGATAAACCGAGTTAGTACGTGCAGTTGTATGTTTTGGAAAAATATTTATCGACAAATGTATATGCTCTGAGTTCATTAATTTATTAATCTTACGAATATTTACACTCAACAATTTATCTTCTTATGTAGCAGAAATAACACTTTATTCAAAGCACTAAATATCATCAGAGACGTACACGTATATATTGTATTATATACCTCTCTGATAAAAGTGCATATCAATAATCAATGTGGCAATGAGGTCAGTCCGTGCCTCTTTATTGATATCAGTAAAGATATCTACTAGATATCTAGGTAACGAAGAGGGCGACAGGTAACATCCGGGCCTCTTTATTGATATCAGTCAAGATATCTACTAGATATCTAGGTAACAAAGAGGACAACAGGTAACATCCCTTCGAATGAAGGGAGACATATTGTATTATAGATGTAGTACTGGTTCTTCTAATAATTTCTTGTCCGGGCCATAACATCTAAACCGTTGAAGATATCTTTACAAAAACTGCAGTATATTTGCATAACCTAAAGCCGATGTGAAATGCACTGCCGTTACATCACTGATATTGACCTCAAGGTCATAGGTCAAATAAGTGCAATTTTTTCCAATAATTTCTTGTCCGGGCGAAAACTTCTAAACTGGTAAGGATATCTTAATGAAAGTTGCTGCATACCTTTATCACTCACTGACAAAGTGCAGTGCTCTGTCATTGGATAATTGCAACCTTGACCTCAAGGTCAAATGTCTAATAAGTGCGAATATTTCCAATAATTTCGTGTCCGGGCGAAAACGTTTAAACTGTTAAAGATATCTTAATGAAAGTTCTTGTATAGCTTTATCATCCACAGATGATATGCAGTGCTCTGTCACGTATCATAATTGCGATAATTGCTATATGTACTTGTCTATACCATAGCTACTAAAACTTACCAACACTGTTTTCACAATGTCAAATAAACAAGAGCAGCAACATTTATTAATTTTTATTGTTGCACACCCAATCTACTATAAAAGCAGCAAATATACATGTTGGCTAATAAGGGGAGACAGATTTTGTTCACTGAAACAAATCTCTAGTTGATCTTAAAAGATTTGATAATTAGAAAGTAAAAGAGGAAGATAGAATTTGGCACCAGGAATGTAGTCCAGAAGTATCAATCATTTTGACAATGTAATGCATTGATTTCAATACTTGGCCATAAAACAATTAAAAAGTCTCCGGAAATTAAATCACCGCCACCTGTCTTTGAAAGTCATGATCATAGAGGGCATAGAGGCTCATGATATTCCCAAAAAACATGTATAAGTAAGGGATATTCCCCATAAACACGTGTGAATGAGGGATATTTCCCCATGTCAATGTAAAAGTGAGGGATATTCCCCAACAACACCTACAAGTGAGGAATATTCCCCTTAAACACGTGTGAGTGAGTGATATTTCCCATAAACATGTACGAGTTAGGTATATTCAACCATGAACATGTAAAAGTGAGGAATATTCCCGATAAACATGTAAAAGAGAGGAATATTCCCGATAAACATGTAAAAGTGAGGAATATTCGAAATTGGGAACCCTAGTTCCGTTTAACGTTTAACGTAAACGGAACGAGGATCGGGTTCCTAGTACCGTTTTCTTAAACGCAACTAGGGTCTGGTTCCCAGTTCCGTTTACGTTAGACGGAACTAGGGACTAGGAACCAACTTCAGGCACTCATACAAGTAATAGTTTACGCCTCCATTTCCATCTTCAAAAGTCTCATAACATAATGAGAATCTGTTTGCATTTCAATGTCACTCTGGTGTTAAAATTGAAGTTTAAACAAAAAAAATAGGAATGAATAAACTTCCAAATGAAAAAAAATGTCATTTAACCTTAACTCAAATAATCATACTGGTCTATCAAAACGAGTATGAAAAATTTAAACGTAACAAACATTTTGATTGAACACACAAAGGTTATATATATATATATATATTAAAGGTATCAGCGTCAAACTTTATTCTAGGTATGAATCTATGTTTCGTTTGAAGCTAGACCCTGTGCACGTTTTGTTGTTGTTTTTGTTATTTTTTTCGAATAAATACAAATTTTGTCACAGATATATGATAAATTAGGATAATTCGTTCATGATACAAGTAGAGAGTAGTCCGCTTTAGCTGGGGAATACATAAAATGACACACCGTACCGAACGGAAATTAGTTTGAACAAACTTTGACACCAGTGCCTCATATAAGTATTCCATACATGAATTTAATACACGTTCTGTTCGACTATTGAAAAACATGTTCCACAGAAATAGTTCGCAGCATAAAATCATTATTTTCGCGTTTACTTCTCCGTGCTCCTCTTTTCGTTTATAGAACGCTGTTGGTGAGATCATTTACAGCTATTTTAAACGTTGTGTACGCTTCCGGTTCGTCCTAATAGACCAATGTGAAATACTGTACAAATGGATTCCGTCCGTTTGAGTGCGGATTAGAAGGTATTTAATGCGTCCAACACGATTAATTGTCTTGAGTCTTAAAGTTACAAAATGTTTATAAACTAGTGTTTTCGATGCTAGTTTCTCATGTTACAGTCGCATCACGTGTACGGTACCAACTCCACACCCGATCCACACGTTCCCACACGCGTCCACACCCACCGCAGTAGGTCCGATCACTCCATGTTCCTGATCCAGGAGACACGTGGCCTGTGTACCATCTCTCGGTAGGACATACACCTGGTTGTTAGTGTAGTTAGGTACAAACAGTCTGTCGTACTTGTCACGTGACATCTTACAGAGTTGCATTTGACCAACCTTTTGACCTTTGTTAAGTTCACCTGTCCAGGTATGTTGGACTGTGCCTGATTCGTTTGTTATGGACAGTGAATTATGAGATATGGTCATTACTGCCACGTTTCCTGATGACAAACAGGCAATACATTTCCCATTCATACCACACGGTACTTTCCTCACAATCGTACCCGACTGGTTCAGTACCACTATGTCTGGTGTGTTTGTACTAACAAACACTTCTCCCTTCTTGTTGATGCTGATGTCGTATGCTTTATGTGGTCTGATATCAGCAATTGTTGTCACTTGTTTGTTGTGTAGTGATAGTTTATATACAAATATACTACGTGGATTACTTGTCATAAGTATGTCTGTTGTCCCGACCATGGTAATTCTGCACGGACAGAAGTCCAGTTTTACTGTCGATTTGACCACACCATCCCTGTTAACCAGTACCAGACCCTTGTATTGATGTATTGATAACCAAGCGTGGCTGTCGTCGACTGGACATATACCGAATATTTGATTTTGTTGATTAACAGTAAACTTAGAGAGACGTTGAACGTGTTTACTGTCAATGACTGTCTTCTCGTACTGGTTCTTGTGGTGTAGTTCACCAAGCATTTCCGCCAACATGGCGCGGTCGATACTTCCGGTAACAAAGTTTGGTTGTTTTGGCAATACGCTTTTCACATTCACATCATACAAGGAAAGACTTGTTCTCAAGGAACTTTCGATTTCAAACATGGATACACTTGATGTGTTCGTTATTTCCGCTTTTTCAAGTAGCCGCGTCAGCTCTGCAACATTTTTCTCATATAGCTGACAATCTTCTTTGTGCGTCGCTAATCCTTTTTTCTCCATGGACGACAACTCAGCCAGCACTGCATCCGCGATAGAATCTACTTCTTTCTTTAACTTAGTCCTCTGAATGTTTACATCTCTCCTCATTGTATCAATGTTGTCGTTGAACGCTTCGGTAACGTGATGTCGCTCTGACGTCTCGTTCTTAAAATGTTCTATTTTAGCTGATATTGCTGTCATGTGCTCTTTCAGATGTTGCTTTGTTATAGAAAATTCGTCTTCAAAAGGTTTCAAGTTGTGCTGTTTATGCAATTTAGATAAACACATCGAACAAAGCAACACGTTACAGTCCGAACAATAGAGATCACACAGTTTACCGGGATGTAGTTTACATACCTCTGGTACAGGCTTGTCTCCCTGACGGTTAGCCTCCCCAATCGACACGACGTCGTCGTTTTTAGTTTTCTTACCGCGTGAATGGAACTCCTTACACCGATCACATAAATTCTCCTGACAATCGTTACAATACCATCGTACTCCGTCTTCACTGTCACACAAAGCGCATTTGTATGTAACGGGTTCCTGGGCACGCCGTACGGATCTGCTACTTGCCATGATGTTTGTTAAGAGAAAGAATACCTATACACTATGAAATGTCGCCATTTTGTTGCTCTGTCGGTAAAGGTATAACTATATTCTTCCTTGTTGTAGGTATGTCACGTGATTATTCAGACATGGCTAGTCACGATATCGGTCGGCCAAAAATACCCCACCGTGTAGTATAGTCTCTCGAAACAGTGTGTTCGTGATTTTATTCATTGGTCTTTGTGTACAATATCCATACTTAAGTGTAGAATAAAGGTTAAACCCCAGTATATTTACAGTGCACCGCGCTACGTTAGACAGCAGAAAAACCTGTAGTGCACTAGACCTGCGTAGAGTTGGTTAGTTTTGTCTACCAGTGTCCCACACTTATATATTTTCACAAATGTGACTGGTTAGCATGGCCTACCTGTTGTATACCAGGAGTAGAAAATGCACGGCCAGAACCCGGAACTCCGAACCCTACATGGACGCTCTACCAATGAAGCATGCTAGTCGGAGGCGATCGACCCAGTCAATTTCCGCTAAAGATGTGTAGTTTAATAAACCGAGGTTCTACGTACAGTCGAAAAATAAATATGCCCTGAGTTAGTTAATTTATTAATCTGTTAAATCATACGAATATTCATTCTCAACAATTTATTTTCTTACATTTGTATGTAGCAGAAATTCCAATGACACTTTATTCAAAACACTTAATATCATCATAGACGTATATATTGCATTATATACGTCTCTGATATCATTAACTATGTTTCATTACCTGAATAGCGCATATCAATAATCAGCGTGGCCATGAGGTCAGCCCGGGCCTCTTCATTGTAAGTATCAGTCATAACACATCTACTACATATCTAGGTAACAAAAGGGGACGGCAGGTAACATCCGAGTCTCTTTATTGATATCAGTCATAACAAATCTACTATATATCTAGGTAACAAAAGGGGACGGCAGGTAACATCCGGGCCTCTTTATTGATATCAGTCATGACACATCTAATATATATCTAGGAAACAAAAGGGGACGGCAGGTAACATCCGGGCCTCTTTATTGATATCAGTCATCATACAGCTATTACATATCTAGGTACCAAAGGGGGACGGCAGGTAACATCCGGGTCTCTTTATTGATATCAGTCATGACACATCTAATATATATCTAGGAAACAAAAGGGGACGGCAGGTAACATCCGGGCCTCTTTATTGATATCAGTCATGACACATCTAATATATTTCTAGGTAACAAAAGGGGACGGCAGGTAACATCCGGGCCTCTTTATGGATATCAGTCATGACACATCTACTAGATATCTAGGTAACAAAGGGGAACGACAGGTAACATCCGGGCCTCTTTATTGATATCAGTCATAACACATCTACTAGATATCTAGGTAACAAAGGGGAACGACAGGTAACATCCGGGCCTCTTTATTGATATCAGTCATCATACAGCTATTACATATCTAGGTAACAAAGGGGGACGGCAGGTAACATCCGGGTCTCTTTATTGATATCAGTCATGACACATCTAATATATTTCTAGGTAACAAAAGGGGACGGCAGGTAACATCCGGGCCTCTTTATTGATATCAGTCATAACAAACCTACTATATATCTAGGTAACAAAAGGGGACGGCTGGTAACATCCGGACCTCTTTATTGATATCAGTCATGAAACATCTACTATATATCTAGGTAACAAAAGGGGACGGCTGGTAACATCCGGACCTCTTTATTGATATCAGTCATGAAACATCTAATATATATCTAGGTAACAAAAGGGGACGGCAGGTCACATCCGGGCCTCTTTATTGATATCAGTCATAACACATCTAATATATATCTAGGTAACAAAAGGGGACGGCAGGTAACATCCGGGCCTCTTTATTGATATCTGTCATAACAAATCTACTATATATCTAGGTAACAAAAGGGGACGGCTGGTAACATCCGGACCTCTTTATTGATATCAGTCATAAAACATCTAATATATATCTAGGTAACAAAAGGGGACGGCAGGTCACATCCGGGCCTCTTTATTGATATCAGTCATAACACATCTACTAGATATCTAGGTAACAAAGGGGAACGACAGGTAACATCCGGGTCTCTTTATTGATATCAGTCATGACACATCTAATATATTTCTAGGTAACAAAAGGGGACGGCAGGTAACATCCGGGCCTCTTTATGGATATCAGTCATGACACATCTACTAGATATCTAGGTAACAAAGGGGAACGACAGGTAACATCCGGGTCTCTTTATTGATATCAGTAATGATGCACACAGCTACTAGATATCTAGGTAAACAAAGGGGAACACAGGTAACATTCGTGCTTCTTTATTGATATCAGTCATGACACAGCTACTATGTATTTAGTTAACAAAGGGGACGACAGGTAACATCCGGGCCTCTTTATTGATATCAGTCATCATACAGCTATTACATATCTAGGTAACAAAGGGGGACGGCAGGTAACATCCGGGTCTCTTTATTGATATCAGTCATGACACAGCTACTATGTATTTAGTTAACAAAGGGGATGACAGGTAACATCCGGGCCTCTTTATTGATATCAGTCATCATACAGCTATTACATATCGAGGTAACAAAGGGGGACGGCAGGTAACATCCGGGTCTCTTTATTGATATCAGTCATGACACAGCTACTATGTATTTAGTTAACAAAGGGGACGACAGGTAACATCCGTGCCTCTTTATTGATATCAGTCATCATACAGCTATTACATATCGAGGTAACAAAGGGGGACGGCAGGTAACATCCGGGTGTCTTTATTGATATCAGTCGTGACACAGATACTAGATATCTAGGTAACAAAGGGGGACGACAGGTAACATCCGGGTCTCTTTATTGATATCAGTCATAACACGGCTACTAGATATCTAGGTAACAAAGGGGGGCGGCAGGTAACATCCGGGTCTCTTTATTGATATCAGTCGTGACACAGATACTAGATATCTAGGTAACAAAGGGGGACGGCAGGTAACATCCGGGCCTCTTTATTGATATCAGTCATAACACATCTACTAGATATCTAGGTAACAAAGAGGGCGACAGGTAACATCCGGGCCTCTTTATTGATATCAGTCATAACACATCTACTAGATATCTAGGTAACAAAGAGGGCGACAGGTAACATCCGGGCCTCTTTTTTGATATCAGTCATAACACATCTACTAGATATCTAGGTAACAAAGGGGGCGGCAGGTAACATCCGGGGCCTCTTTATTGATATCAGTCGTGACACAGATACTAGATATCTAGGTAACAAAGGGGGACGGCAGGTAACATCCGGGCCTCTTTATTGATATCAGTCATAACACATCTACCATCTAGGTATCTTCGTATCATGGAGAGAAAACAGGTCAGCACCAGACCTCCTTATTTATATAAGACATTACGAAATTGGCAAAAATCCCTTTTTATAATACATTAATTAACAAATTCAACAAGATTTTACATCACACGAAAAAGGCGAAAGTCCGTTTCAATGACAATGGTTTTTTTCAGGCTCAACCATGTTACCAGATAAATACTGAAAATGTATCACATATCACTTGTATATATCGAGTTACACGGAGTATAGGAAAGAACGGTGTCAGGTCGTTTCGGTAACAAGTCGTATCGGTAACAAGTCAAAATTCGTTTCGGGATTTTTCATTTTTTTATCTTCTGTAGATACCTAAATTTAGACAATCGATTGGATAAAAAATATTGCAACTTATCATAGCTAGCCTTCTCCTTTCATGCATTTACCATTACATGATTTTAATAACACATGAATAAATATATATAATATTCACACAGACTCAAATACCACGGAATTAGATTATCTAAGTCCGTGTAAATACACAACATGAGTGAGTGAGTCTCTCACTCTTTATGTTTGAGATCAGATACATTTTGTGTTTTGCCCTCGGGACACTTCTTTTTTTTTAAGTCAGATCTATTCGTCATGTCCCGAGTAGTTTTGAGTGATACTATTAATGACCTTTGGTAAAATTCTATTGTGTCTTTTTCTGTCGCACCGGATTTTTATCGGAACTCCGGTTCTAATATTCCTCGCTCCACACACTATTTGATGACGTAACGGGCACTTCCTGTTTATTTCGGTCGAAATATTGAAATAAATACACACGCTAAAATTGAAAATGCAGCGTGGTGGGGGTGAAGGTGCTTCGGGATACTCAGGAGGCGCCCACCCCACGAGTGGAGGACACTCATCATATCGCTACGAAGATCTAGAATTTCCCTTCTGTGAAGATTCTGGCAAATATGAAAAACTCGCAAAGATCGGCCAGGGAACTTTCGGGTAAGACACAAAGCGTGTCAGCTATCCAATTTGTCACTTGTACATTGACGGATTCATGGGGGTTACGAGGGCTCCAGGAAAACTAAAACCTCCAATGTGTCTAAACTTTCTTCGAACGCTAGTTTTTAACCCCACCCCTCCCACGTTATTTCTGATCGCCGATTTCTTCCCTGGAGCTAACAATGCAGCAGTCGGGATATGTACAGTACCAGTTATTGAACATCTTAAGCAATTTAATAGGCCTAATTGTATTTCCAACGATGATAAATTTATAATTCCCAACAGAAAGCGATTCCAGATCAGTCATGACAAATGGCTGTGGAAATGTTAGTGATTCAATTCAAATCATCAATATTGATCAGGTTACCCATTACAAAATACAATGAGGTACAATTGTGCACAAAACGTTATCAATTCTGATGTCTAACATTTTGTAAAAATGACAAACGATATCACTGACTTTGCTCTCCATTGACTTCAGTGTGTAGTCAATGGGATCATCCAGTGCAAATGTGACAGGTGAGCACAATTTTTTCTGTGTGTTATTTATAGCTGCTCTACAGAACACTATAATCAAAGGAGGTGATACAATTTGTCATTTTCACAAACATGTAGACAACTGAATTAACATATTTTTGTGCACAATTGTACCTCATTGTATTGGATTATGTTGAAAGAATGATGCCCTTTTTTGCTGAAGGTGTTTAAAAGAACTTTATGTGTTTTTATTTCACTTTATTCCCCATCTGAGTTATAAAATTGTTACTGCAAATGAGTAACTGTTACCCAAATGCAGGATTATTACCCATATGCACCGTTGTGCCCAACCTGTTGATCTTTAATAATTTCTGACGGATACTTCAGTATAGTTCAGCTGTGATGTGAAATCATGAGTGTTTCAGTTATTTGGTGTGCAGCCATTTACAATGTACTATATTGCTCACATTTACCTAGTTATTAAATTAATCTGAACATCAATGTATGTCTAAGAGAGAAATTAGTTAATTGTTTGTTTCTTATGCAGGGAAGTATTTAAGGCCAGAGACAGGAAAACAAAACGACTGGTTGCAATGAAGAAAGTATTGATGGAAAATGAAAAAGAAGGGGTAAGAACAAAAATGGATTTACACTAGGCCCGATCTGTGTCTGTAAGGTTCCTGATAAAATTCATAAATTGAATATTACATCCGTCTCCCTTGACAATGCCTCACTTTTGGTTTTTAGTTGAGCGTTTGCCCCTGTGAGGAAGCTTTGGGTTCTGTCCCCTGGTCGAGACATACGTTATACCAGAGTCTGTAAAAATGGTAGTTTCTACTCCTGCTTAACGCTCAGCAATTTATAGGAGTGGGACGACTGGTTCGCCCGTTGTTAGTATAATGTGACCGGGTGGGGTGTCCTGCTGGGTGTCTTCGGCAGTATGTTTCAGTGAGGTAGCACTATAAAGTCAGCATCAGTTCTGCGATATCACAATTGCAAGGAGACAAACACGATCATATTGCAGCCACCCCAAACACATACACTACACGCATGCATATATCTTGCACACAGGGGAAGCCGTCCCTAAATGACCTTAGCTGTTGATAGGACGTTAAACAATACTAAACCAAACCTGGGAGGAGGAGTGGAGTAAAAGTTAGTTTTTGAGGCTACTATTGGTCGACCGTAGTTGTGCTGTAGAGGATTCTTTTAGAGCGTTTCAATTGGTTAGTGTTTGTGGGAAGAAGGATTGTCTGTAGTTCTCAGTGTTGTACGATATCTGTTGTAGTTTCTGACTGTTGTTTCGTCGTGTGTTGGTACGGCTGACTGTTGTTTCGTCTTGTGTTGGTACGGCTGACTGTTGTTTCGTCGTGTGTTGGTACGGCTGACTGTTGTTTCGTCGTGTGTTGGTACGGCTGACTGTTGTTTCGTCGTGTGTTGGTACGGCTGACTGTTGTTTCGTCGTGTGTTGGTACGGCTGACTGTTGTTTCGTCGTGTGTTGGTACGGCTGACTGTTGTTTCGTCGTGTGTTGGTACGGCTGACTGTTGTTTCGTCGTGTGTTGGTACGGCTGACTGTTGTTTCGTCGTGTGTTGGTACGGCTGACTGTTGTTTCGTCGTGTGTTGGTATGGCTGACTGTTGTTTCGTCGTGTGTTGGTACGGCTGACTGTTGTTTCGTCGTGTGTTGGTACGGCTGACTGTTGTTTCGTCGTGTGTTGGTATGGCTGACTGTTGTTTCGTCGTGTGTTGGTACGGCTGACTGTGATGTAGTCGGCAGCGGGTATGGCTACTAGCCCATTAATTGATGATCTTAAACAGTACTAGTCTGTGTTTACGACGTCTGTCTTTCAGTGGTTCAAATTCCCAGTCTGTTTAGCATGGCAATATACTTGTGGCAGATTTTATAATGTACATAGGATTACGGTCGCCCTCTAACTTCTTACTAGAAGGAACTTCCCTTTAGCTCAGTGGTAGAGCGTCCGACTAGGAAGTCTGGGATCGCTGGTTCGATCCCCAGCAGAATCACAAGGTTCTCTTTTCTGTTACAAATTAATGATGTCTATGGCCCTCCCTGTGCTGGCAGGGAGTAAGAACCTGGGTAAAAGTTGTGGTGTTTGAGGGCAAATACATTTGAAAGAGGAGAGCTTGAGGGTGTGACAGAATTTAATTGTTCTAGCTTTGTGTTATGGGAATTTCCCTTAAGCTCAGTGGTAGAGTGTCCAACAAAGAAGTCTGGAATCGCGGGTTCTATCCCCAACAGAAGCTTACCATTTTCTTCCTGTAACATACTGTTACTGGATATGATCACATTGTGGAATACTGACTGCTTTGGGCAGGATGTTTCCCTTTACCTTTCAAACGCCCGACAATCTCCATGGTATACTAGTCAAATAAGTGTTGGGAATCGGTTAAAATTTTATGATCGATTGTTGATTACCATTAAATATATCTTGTGTACCTGTTTGAACTTTATATTGCAGTTCCCCATCACTGCTTTGAGAGAGATAAAAATCCTCCAGTTGTTGAGACATGAAAATGTTGTGGATCTTATAGAGATTTGCCGCACTAAAGGTGAGAATGCCTGTCTTTGTCTAAACTTATGTTACAGTTGTATATTGCTAGGCCTGGCTTCATAATTTCCGTTACTGTATCTGCATTTTAAATTCCTTCACCAATTAATGTACATGTTCTAAACCATTATACAGAAAAATCACTCAAGGAAGGTTGGATCAAGACACATTGTCCCTTACAAGTCAAATTTGGCTCTGTTCCGACAATTCCTGCTGTTGATACTTTCATATACGGAGTCCCTCGCTAAAATATTATGAATGAACGCAGAACAACAGCGAGGAATTTTCCAATTATATAGATTTAATGGAGAGTCGTACGCGTTGTTTACATGTTTTGACTCCAAGGCAAGTCGTCATCAGCATCAGGTTTCTGATGACAGCTCGCCTTTGAGTCAAAACATGTAAACAACAATTTCCCTCAAGCTCATATAATTGGAAAATTCTTGCTGTTGTCCTACGGTCCTGCGGCATTCATGATACAGAAAGTTGCAAAGTACTTAACTAGTAGTAACCAGTTTACAGCTTGTTATTGAACAAACAATTAGAATAAAAAAAACCTGTATTATTGAGATTATTCAGCCCTACATACCTTAACTAGACTTGTCCATACTTTAATTTGGTAAGGTTCAAATGTGACTTAAGGGGTGAATGGGTTAAGTACCAAAAACTAAATTTGATACAATTTTTCAAATCTTGAAAATTATTCAATAAGGGAATACTGGTATGTGTATTATCTACTATTTCTGTAACCGTCACTATAGAAATTCTATTTTTCATGTGTTGTAAAGTACATTGGAGTAATTTTACAAATTATATAGGGCACTATATAAGTGTTGTATATTACTGTATATTATTATTATTATGAAATAACTAATTGATGCTACGCAATTGGTCTTTAACTACCCAGCAAGATTAATCTTGTACATATATATGTCATATTACTTCAGTCATTATTTTTTTCTCTATTGTAGCCTCTCAATATAACCGCTTTAAAAGCACGTTTTTCCTGATCTTCGAGTTTTGTGAGCACGACTTGGCTGGACTGTTGAGCAATGCCAATGTGAAGTTTAATCTTGGTGAGATCAAGAAGGTTATGCAACAGCTATTGAACGGCCTGTACTTTATACACAGCAATAAGATCCTGCATCGAGACATGAAGGCTGCCAACATCCTCATCACCAAACACGGTGTCCTCAAGCTAGCAGACTTCGGGCTGGCACGAGCCTTCAGTGTTCAGAAGGCGGGACAGCCTAATAAATACACTAATCGAGTGGTGACGTTGTGGTACCGGCCGCCAGAGCTACTCCTAGGGGAGAGGAACTATGGGCCACCCATTGACATGTGGGGTGGTGGGTGCATAATGGCAGAAATGTGGACGCGGGCACCCATTATGCAGGGCAAGACCGAACAGAATCAACTCCAGCTCATCAGCCAGTTGTGTGGGTCAATCACCAAGGAAGTATGGCCCACCGTTGACAAATTTGACCTCTTTGCACAACTTGAGCTTCCCCAAGGTCAAAAACGCAAGGTGAAGGAGAGGCTAAAGGCTTATGTGAAAGATCAGTATGCACTTGACCTCTTAGATAAACTTTTGACCCTTGACCCTTCAAAGCGATTGGATAGTGACAGTGCATTGAACCATGATTTCTTTTGGACAGATCCGATGCCAAGCGACTTGTCTGAAATGTTGTCCCAGCACAAGACGTCCATGTTTGAGTTCCTGGCGCCACCTAGACGACCGGGTCAGCGGCCAATGCCACATGCACAGAATCAAAACATACAGCGACCAACACACAACCCTGACCTCCATGTGGAGCGAGTGTACTAGTATTATAAATATGATAGCTCTCTATAATTGTGTGTATATAATACAGCAGACCCATGTTGGCTTATCATTCAAAGCTTGCCTACGAAATTGAACTGAAAAGTTGTAAAGGTTTCATCTGAGATATTTTCAAACAGTTGAATTCAATCTTAACTGGATTTTAGACTTAAAAAGTGTATTTATTGTATTTAAATGATCGTTTAAACATAAAGGAAATATTCTAAAATCATGAACGTCAACACACTCAGTTTTTCCAAGAATGGGTTTTGTCATATTTGCTTATTTCAGGAGTACATTTTCAATTCTTACTCCTATTGTCTTAACATATTTTAACACGTCTGATTTTTCAGTAAAATAGAAGCAAAATATGTTGAGGTCTAGATATGTGTCACAGTGGAATATGATAGACCAACATAATGACACAACAAAGAAAATATTCGAAACAAACACCGATATCTAATACAAAATACATATATTATACTCGATGGAATGCAATAATGCAACATTGTCAATATAAAATCTTGTCCTGACAATAGCGTCTAAAGAGCAGTCTTTTAGACGATTGTTTTAAGGCAGTTGTTTATATATAATTTGTGAGTTATAAAATATTGTCCTACATGTGTGAAATGATGTAAACAACATCTTAAGTTTTAACAGAAATTCTTGCCTTTTTTAAATATACATAAATTCACCTCATTTTTCTTTTAAGAATTTCTTAAGTTTTATGTTGATTTTAAATGCATATATATGAAAACTATTTTTATCAGCAAAATTTAATCAATGTGCGATATTTTAAACTTATTTCATACATTCTTGTCATCAACTCCAGATGCAGGTTCATCCTTTTAAGTTAAAGATTTAAACATGCAAACTTTTGTCTATGTCAAACTATCTAGGGCTAGTCGGGCCACTGGGTACAATATAAATTGTACATTATTGTGTATTGATATGTAAAAAGTGACTGGATACCCAAATATGGGTACATGTAAGAGTGATATTTGTTTGGAAAAAAAATCATGTTTAAAACTTGACACTTGGTCTATGTGTCGCCTACAAAGTAAAGGGGGACACCTACAGTAGGAATCACTGCATCAACATTGTCCACACAAATGGTTTCTGTGTATGATAACCGTTACAGGAATAAATTATTCATAAAAAAATGATCAGGAACACATATTTGTTTATTATGTACAACATTTTCTATTAAAATGTTTTAAATGTTATTAGTTTTCCGCTTTTCTTTGCCTTTGTCGTTGTTTTTTTAACATGTTCACTAATAGCAATATATAGGGATGGGATTTGGGGTTCCATTAGGTGAATTAAATTTCTCACATCAGTCATTTTTAGCTCACCTGGCCCGAAGGGCCAAGTGAGCTTATGGCATGGTGCAGCGTCCGTCCGTTCGTCGTCGTCAACATTTTCCTTTAAACAACTTCTTCTTAGTAACCAAGTAACCATAAGGCCTAGGGTGATGATATTTGGCCAGAAGCATGCTGGGATGAAGGGCTACCAAGTTTGTTCAAATAAATGACCTTGACTTATATTCAAGGTCACAGGGGTCAAATATGTTTAAAACCTTTCAACAACTTCTT